TTTCATTTAGGATTTTCATTTAGGGGGGCTAAGCCCCCAATGAGGGTATGATTTATAAAAAAAAATAAAAAGCTAAAAAGTAACACTTTAGATTAGGGTCTAATGCTTACTATTAACTAGTTTCATTACCATGCAATGGCATGGTTTTATAATCACTGGGATCCCGAATTTGAGGCAGGTTAGTTAGGGGTGTTCGGGGGAAATTTTGGATTTTTCTGAACTACAGATGTGCATTTTAAGATGTTGTGAAGGCAAAAAAAAAAAAAAAAAAAAAAAAATCGATAACAACAGCTTTAAAACCATGTCAGTGGGCAGCTGATTATTTTTCTCTCCTCATCAGCATCACACTCTTTTTCTCTTTGTTTTTATCTTGCCCTGTCTCTTCCCCTCCTAAAGTTGGCTTTTTTAATTTACTAAAGGTTACAATTTGTATTTTATTCTCTATATGTACACATTCATTATAAATCCTGTGCCTAACATGATGAAAACGGCTTTGTTCATGTTTCTTGTCTCCTCACAATGACAAGTAGCCTAAACTATTACACTATAGGCTACATGTTACATAGGCCTATTTTCAGTTCAAAATGGCGAAATTAGACAAAACTATATTAGTTTGCCTAATTATTTTTTGTCATTCGTTTAACATTTATGACCTAAAAAAAACTGTCAAATAAAGTTAAGTTTAGCTACTTACATCTTATCTCGCACTTGACCGTACACTGAAGCGTCGAGTTGCACTGTTCAAATTCGCGCTCAGCGTCTGTGAACATAAAGCCCGCCTACTTTGATTTGATTGGTCATCTCAAATATTCTGACATTGACGAGCAGTGACAGACCAATGAGGCTCAGATGAACACACGAACACACACACACACACACGCACACACCCTGTCCTGTGTTTCTGACGTGCTCTCTGTCTCTGCTCGGCGCCGCTGCGGAATGAAGAGGAAGAACGCGCTGAATCTGATTATAACAAGAAGTTTGATGATTGGTTTTTCATTAGGCTATTTTTGGTGCCCCCTCAGCACTTGGTGCCCTACGCACAGCGCGTGATGCGCGTGGTGGGAGCGGCGGCGCTGATTAGGTTATTACAGCATTTAAAGAGCACAGACCTACGCAAAGGAGGTGCATGTGAAACACCTTGTAAGAAATACTTTTCCTTTTCAGGAAAAGTATCGAAAAAGTATCGAAATCGCAATTCTTGACTTGGTATCGGTATCGAAACAATAATTTTGGTATCGTGACAACACTATTGGAATGATGACATACTGTAGCAGAAAAAGTGAAGCAGATGTGCTGAATGAAAATGCACTTTCTCTCCCTGACAGCGGATGGCTCTGATGGAACAGCAGAAATACAGCCGTTACCCTGTTGACCCCGTACACAAAACAGCTGCACTACTTTCTGTTTCTGCACAGTATTAAATGTTTTAAACAGCTATTCAGATTTTTGTATTCACAATGGTGTTCATCACAGCACTAAACGCTTAAATACTTAGACTTACTAGGCTTTTTATTTACAAAATTAAACATTTAGTTAACATTAACTAACAATAAAAATACTTCTAATGCATTTATTAATCTTAGTTAATGTTAGTTTCAACATTTAATAATACATTAAAATCTAAATCTGAGCTAACACAAACTAACAATGATCAGTTGTATTTTTTAACCAACGTTAACAAAGAATAATAACATCTGTAACAAATGTAGATATTGCTCCTTGTTAATGTTGATGCATTAACTAACAATACTAATGAGACCTTATTGTGTGATAACTATTATTCTTAAAGTGAAACCTTTTTTTACTTTATACATTTTTTGTGTATTATTTTATTGTATTTAAATGTTCAGTTCCTTTTGTTATAAGAAAACAGTTATTAATCCTGTTGTAGTATCACAACACTTTTTTTGCAACTTATTTAAAATTCAATTCAATTCAAATTTGTTTGTATAGCGCTTTTCACAATACATATTGTTTCAAAGCAGCTTTACAAAAAAGTGCATTTCAGAAATGTACATAGAAAAATAGTTAATCATGTATTAATTTAGGGCATAACATATCGCCGGCATCGAGTCGTCTCTTCACAGGCGTGGAGACAGAATCGTATTATTCACTCACACAATCGTATTATTACGATTATCGTATTAATAATCGTATTATTACGTATTATAATCGTATTATTACGATTTCAATATCATAATAATACGGTATACAGTGATAAAAGCTTCAGCTTTTTCCACTAAACCATGGCACATTGTCCATGTTTTCTCCACAATGAAAGTTAGAAATGTGGATCTTTTGTGAAGTGAATTTTGCACAAGTTGTTTTATTCAAAAATATTTGTAATTTATTTATATATTTAAAAAAAATATAATAAATCCCCCAAAACTGCACAAACGTATAGTAAAAACATTATTAAAGTGAGTGATATTACATTAAAACTTTTTTTTACTGGCACCAGAAGTCACACAGAACAGAATGATGTTATAATATCAAATAAACTAAACTCAATTGCTTAAAATAAATGTAAATGAAAACAACCTCATTGATCATAAACATAGAAGAATCAATCGATTAATTTGACGTATTAAATATTATAGCTTAAATAAGAATTTGTAAACATTTTGTATGTTGGTAAAGTTGTACGTAAAGGATTTATGTTTTAGATGCCATCAAAACATTTTAGTGCTTAAACTTAATATATGTGGGACTGAACCATTATAAGCAAAGTGCATACAAATACTCATGTAATCACAACACAGCCTCTTCAATTACAATTTTTTTATTTTCAAAATAAAATTTTCACCATCAATTTCAAAATTCAAAACTTAATTCTGCTTTGGAAAATTGTTTTTGTGTGTCAGAAAATGATAACGAAAACAATAAATAGTTTTTGCTTACTCATCAGCTTGTAAAATCACTTATCAGCTTGTGCTGTAAATGATACACTCCTAGTCGTATAGAGCTTCGGTAAAATGGTCTAATAGAACACTCAAGCATGCAAGATTAATAAACGACTTTAAGACGAGATCAATTCCCCCTCTTGAACTTTTACTTAAGCAAATTAGCAAAAGCAAATTAGCAAAAGCAGCACAGTTATGTTGCTCTAAATATCATTAAACAGGTTATCAAGCTAAGCTTTAACCAATTACTTTCTTCTCTTTCCAATTAAATGTCTATGAAAAAACTCAAGACAACAGGCTGATTCACACCTACACAGCAATGTGAATTACATCTATAAAATGAATATACAGCTTCAAATGGATGGATCTTTCCAAATATATGAACAGGCTTTCCAGAGGTGACCTTAATCAAATATAACATTCTCACTTCTGCAACGCTGCATTTTCATTGCTCACTTGGCTTACAGATTCATAAAAGGATGACAGTACAGTCAAGAATGCTGTTAACCCCGAGGGCAGATGAAAGTTAATTATTTAGCAAACAGGTATTTTACAGATGGACAATTTCAGTGTTATGAATTATTACACAGTTCTAAGGTAATGGCTGAGACTATACACTTTATAGAAATGTGAATTTAAAAGCACGAATCATTAACAACAAAACCTGTAAAGAATAAAAATAGTAAAAAAGAAAAAGAAAAGAAAAGCCAAAACCTGACCTTTTTCTATGGTAAGTTTGACATTTGCATGGAATTGCCAAGATTTCATATTAGTGCCAATTATAACTCCCTTACTTGATTCCCTGGATTTATTTAGACTTTGATCTTCATTTAACAAACCATAAAACCAGAGAAAGTTTCCATTATGGTTCTTTGTTATGTTAAAAAATGTCAAATGCTTTAAACCAGTGCAACTCAGCATACACAAATTATACTCATCCTTCTCAAATGCAGCAATATGTCCCCCAATTGTCTACTTCTTTCAATAAATGGTTCAAACATGAGGCTTGTTGCTTCTTAAATTATAAAACCACAAACAACTACTATGAAAACCGAAATATGAAACAGGCTAATGTAGGAATGCCTATAATCATGTCTGGTACTTCGTAAAAACTATGTGGCTTATTTAATATTCATTGTTGTGAGTTACTATATAAGGTGCTGCTGCTGTACAAACACTGGTTGTGTTTTAGAGTCATTTGGCAGACAGCTACCTCAGCTTATAGACAGCCCAAAATGCCCTACAAGACCAGAGTGAATGCTCCTCTCACTGAAAGTCTTTCACCCTACTCTGTCCCTCATGCCTTGAAACAAAAGAGGACAAAGAGAACTGAAAGTGAATGTGACCACAGTTTGGAGAGGGTCATTCCCACTGGGGGCAACATATACCCAATCCACTCAAATGTCAGTTCCTTTGGGGGATGGGGCAGGAAAACATACAACTTGTTTCTACATGTCTTTTTTTTTGTTGATTCAAGTAAATTAATGTCCCGAGAGACTCCTTACTCTCCTGTAAATTTTGTCCAGTCCTAAAATATTTTAACTCAGGTTGACATTTAAAATCCGTTCTTATTGTCACTAGTCAAATTATTTTATTACCATAATCATCAAACATTAACATCACAAAAATGGTAAGGTTCTGTTCCCTAAACAGTAGCCTACTGCATGTACATTGATGTTTCAAATGTTTCTCAAAAGCCCACGAGAGCTTCCTCAGTTATATTAAAATGCAAAATATTTTGTTTTCACATTACTATATGGTAAGTGGATAAAATATTTGTAGGAGACACATTTTTTGATAGATTATATAAATCTAATTGGTTAAGAGCAGGTGCAATAAACAGTAGAGTATATAACTACCCAATGCACACTACCCATATGTGTTCACTTTACTCATAAATGTCTTACTCCATATAGCCTACTATACCTCATGCATTACAGATTTCTCACAGAGGGCTACAACCAGAATTAAATTTATGAACACAATTGGAATGCATTTAGCTTTCGGTTTCCTGCGGTCCAACGTAAAGACGAGTTACAACAAGTAATTTTGCACATTTGTTAGAATTAACGTAACTCAAACTGGTACTCCTACCTCTAGAATGTAGTCCAGTTCAGCCTTTGTAAGACATGGGAACTGTTTCAATATTTTCTCCTTTTCGGCTTTATACTTATTCACTGCAAACTCCCAGTTCGGTTCTTCGATGAGTTGGAATATTGCTGCCCCAATGGACAAATAGAAAATGATAGCTGAAGTCAAAAGGGGACCCTTGTCCACCATAATGAATGAACTCAAGTTAGGTGGAGTGACTTTAAAAACAAATTCATAAACAGCGCCCACACTCTTCAAAGTAATTAATTTAGTGCGAGCTCAAACTCGTCCTTGCCGATTCCTTCATGAATAAAAAAGGTGCGTTTCGGAGTGAAGTCGCCGGGAGAGTTTGCGGTCCACGTGCGCCGCTCGCACAGCTAATGTAGAGCTCTGGTGAAACTCTTAGTTCAACACACCATGACAAAAGGAAGTTGGCCAAGATCCACCCACTGTACTCTAGACCTCCCTTTCTTTCATCACATTCACAACATTTAACTTTGTTGCAATTTCACATTTTCTTATTAATGTATTAGGCTATACATTTCTAGAATACTAATTTCTATCGTATGTAAATAATAAATAAATAAATGAATGGTAAATCTTAAGGATTTAATAAAAATGAATGAATTACACTATACTTTTATAAACAAACAAGCATGTAAATGAAGATACATATTTATGAAGATGGTGATACATTAAACTCACCGTAATTCGCACCTTGATAGCACGCAAATATTTCTGCGCGTTATCGCTCGTGTCAGCCTCTGGTTTTCCGCTATACATACTGAAGCGCGCGCGCTGTTACTTTCATTAAAAAATCAAAAAAAAAAAAAAATCTGCAATTTACTGTTCAAGTGACAGCTTCTCATCTGCTTTTAATCTCTATTTGTGGACTAACTAACAACAGGTTATAGCTTTAGCATAGTAGTTTGAAGACTTGCATAACAACAACAATATAACTCTGATAATAAGAGAGCTGAGAAGAAAATACATTTGTATTTTTTTGTTGTTGTTATGTTTATAAAGAGGTTGCATATTGTTTTTCACCTTTGTATAACATTCAATGCATGCCATTTTGACATCCTTTCAGATTAAGTTTTTAAGAATCTCATGTATGCTGATTAGCCTATTGCATTTCCTTCCAAAATTATTTTGATACCTTTTAGGCTGACATTTTAAAACTGGTTCTGTGGCCACTAAAATGTTTGGATATTGTGAGTTTCATGGTTAGTATTATCTATTAATTATTTGTTCTTTTAAAAAGCATAGGTTATGGGTTTCATAATTATGGTATAATTTCTTAGGCTACTCTAAGTATTTTCTATAGTGTTTTGTTTAAAATAAAATAAAACAAAGACTGAAATTTAATCTCCTGTCTTAGATGTAGGTCCAATGTGCCACAGAAAAGAAAAGCCTTTTAAGACAGCAGATGTTTGTTCTATATGAAATGCACCTACGATACAGTAGCTGATCTCTTGAAGTTAGGCTTATAGTCATTCACATACAAGTTATGTTGTTTCATTTTTCAAAATTCAACAAAACCTGTTTCAGATTATGTTTACAAAAGGTGTGTGGGTGAGTCATTGTTCTTAAAAAAATACTTGTTCTTGTACATGCATGGAGTCAGACAGACTTCTCAAGAACCAGTCGACTAGAGCCCTATGCAAACAGGACTAGTTGTCTAAACGATCTTTGAGTACGATTCTTTTCACCTCAATGTGATTTCATGTACCAATTCAGATGGGACTAACATCTCTGTGTTCTGTGTAACATCTTTACAGAGGTGGGATTGTATGTTTTCTAGACGTGGGCATTATAGAAGGTCTTCTGCTGCATGAGTGCATCATGTATAACATGTTTTTTAATGAATTACTTATCGATAGAACTTAATTTCTTATTAAAACCCATATGTAAATAAACTTCAAATGAGTTTATAGAAGTGTCTGTTTATAATAAACTCACATAAGTGAGCATAGACATTTAGACATTGAAGACTAAAATGTCATCTTTTAATGTTTTCATTATTTAATATCATGTATCTGTATTATTATTCTTTATTAATATTCATAATAATAATCAGTTGTATTATCTTGTGGGGTTTAAATGCATGTGGTTGAATGCATGAAGAGATTATAGATAGCATGGATCTATGTGAGGAACACATGTCAGACAGAGGGAAAGCTATATATTGCTTAGAGGTATGTGTGCAATGTAACATGTTCACTCAGCATAGATGTTTCTATTGATGCAAATGTAACATGTGTATGTATGACTTATGTTCCATTTTAAGTTTAAGCAACGAGTTTTGTTACCTTACAAGGCAGTTGAAAGTCTCTCTGTGATGTATATAAGCTCAATCTGACTATACTGACTCAGAGAAACACGGAAACGCATAGACCTGGCATGAATACAACATCTTCTAAAAGTTTCTCTCCTGACATATAAGAATAAAGATTTTTCTTGGCAAGATAACTGGTGTCCGGTCCTAGCCTGGTTCTACCAGATTCTCGTACATTTCATTTGTACAGAGAGTCTGGCCTCTCTCCATTGAGAAACGTTTACTTCCTTGTAGGCGGGTTCTATGTTAAAGTTAAAAACTATTGGATCTGCCATAGCCAATCGTAACATGTGGTCGTGACTTAAGTCATGCGCCGAAACTGGCCGGAAACAACAAGTGCGAATGATCATAAAATAATGTGCCTAATATAACATCTTGCCAATGGACTACAGTTGAAAATTAGCCTGCTGGCAAACACTGGCACATTTACAGAAATGTTAATTAATGTGCACTGTCCTTGAATAAATAAATGAAATGAAATCAGAGGATTATGCTTTCTTTTACTGTCTATGGGGTTATGTTTAGAATAAGATGTCTGTCAACGAGAGCTGCAGGTTTTGTTCATCAAATTTAAGAGTTCAAGGAACAATTGTAAATTCTAAATGTATTTTTGACACTAAGGACAGTGATGTACCTATTCAGTCAACTGTCGAAGCTCGGTCTAATCATTAACAATACGCCGCTGCGATCGTTTCGGATCTGCCGCAAATGCTGTACAGTGATCACCAGGCTAGAGTGAGCTGGAAAATCAAACTTTTCCCGAACCCCGTGCATGGGGAGGAGGGCCACAACAACATGGCCACCAACAAAACTTAGCAAACATTGTTCTTGCTCCGGCTTTAACTTCTGTATATTCGGCAGTTTTGCAACAACGGTCCGAATAGCTTTTCTCACGTCTTTCTCCGCTGCCATTACTAAACTCCAACTCAAACTGACGCACTACATCAACGTCATCGTTCTCAGCCACTCCCTTTGTTCGCTGATTGGTCCTACAAAAAATTGATTTCTGGAAACCTAAGAATATACAGCAGTCCCAGACGTAGTACTGAAGGAAAATGAAATTGAGCGGAAGAGGGCGCAGCCAGGCTAGTCCGGTCCCGTGAATCAAATAGCAACGGGGAAAAGGCTTAATTCCAAGTCTACAAAACTTAAACTGGAATGTCACTGTTTCTGTCACTGCGACTTCCCGAACACGCGCACGCACACATCACTTTTAAAGTAAAAGTGAAAATTGAGGATGCAGAGGATCGTAATGGATCGAGATATCGAATTGAACTGAATCGAATCGATAAGCAATATCGATAATGGAATCGGAATCGTTAAATTCTTATCAATTCCCATCCCTACCTGTCACTACTAATAGACAGGGAGATAAATTGTCTTCCTGAAGTCTGAGCTGTGATGGCGTGGGCGCTGACGTAGGGGCCATTCACATGTTATGTCTTTTGCATGCTCAGGTTCGTTATTTTAAATGTAGACACACAACAAGTGTGCTCACAATAGAGAGTGATGCCGCTGCGATGCTTATGCGGTGCAATACGTTTGTTTTTTCCAGGCTACGTCATAGCAAGATGAAAAATCCCAACTTTTCAGAATGCAGAAAGTGCACCGCAAGTTATGTGACAAGAACCAGAGGATACCCAGAGCTGTACAATTTGTAAAATTTTGGTTCTGGAAATCCATTTAAAGCCGCCGTTTTCCACGCATTTTTAGATGCGGCATGTGAATGACCCCTTCAGAGGCTTCAGTGAAATGATGCCTCAGTGGGCAATGCTGCCAGAATCAGCCAATAAATTAGCCTTGTGATGATAAACCTGTAGGTTATCGCCATGTGAACATCAGTTCACAGTGTTGTTGTGTACATTGATTTATTGTTTAATGTTATGATTGTTTTCATATCGTTTATCTTTGATTAATGATATTATTTGTGATCATGTTATCTGTTTAGATGCATATGCAAGAACACTGACATTGAATGTTCCCATAGTCAGGAGAGTTAACCGACCCCTACTGTTGGTATGATCCACTAAGTGTTTGGCGGGAAAATAGCATATATAAAGGAGTGAGGATAGTTGAGCCGGAGAGAGACGGGCCAAGTGCCAGAGCTAGTACAGTCAAATGCTGTAAGATGTGAGTCTTCATTGTCAGAGGTTTGTTCCTTGAGGCTGGATCTGATGCCGTGTTTTGCTGCTTTCAGCATGTTTTATTTATGTTTTGTAACGTCTATTTTGAGTATTTTTGATGATTTGTTTTGTTTATTTTGAACTTGATTTGGAACATGTGTGCTGAGACGCTGTCCTATATAAATTCACTTCAACTTTAATGATCTCCTGCGTGGTACTCAAGTCATTCCATCTCTTCCCGGGCCTATCGGCAAACAAATTGACGCAACAACTTAGGGTAACGGTATACAACCAGCCCTCTGACAACAAGCCAGGGTGACTTTCCTACATCAAGCGGCTGTAGTTGAAACCACATCCCGACAAGCCTGATTATATGGGCTTCAGACTATCGTCACACCAGAGTGTTCCCGTAGCGTCTGATAATGGTGCAGCATCGAGTGAATCTACGAAAGTCAACCCATTTTCAAGATTTGAAAAACTTTTGTGAGACTGAGACATTATACTGAAAATATCTTCCTCATGACTTATTTTTACCTCAGTCTTTCTTCATAGCAGTAATTTATCAGTAATTCATGCAGTAGATCCTCAGTTAGCCTTAATTCTTTCACACTGACTCCTTACAACAGAAGACTCTGTAATTTTGTAAGATCCATGTGAGACTGAGATTGGCTCAGTCTTTGTCCCTTTGAGGAGTACCATTGTTTGATGAGGTTACATAAAGGTTTTCCCATGGAAATCTATACACACAAATGTTCACATGACACAAAAGAGAACTGAGTCTTTGTGTTTTTGCAGTCTAGGCATAAAATCTTGGAAACTTGCACAACCTCAATCTCCAGATCATATAAAAGGGAAAGAACAAAACATAAGTGATGGAAATTTAGATTATATAGTGCCACGT